TATCTACTGACCACACTTTTTTTGATGCAGCTTAGGGTATGGTTGGGAAACACACATTGCTGGCTCATGTATTGCAACAAAACACACTAGATTTATTTTATATATAAAAGTGATGTAGAGCTCTTGTCTTACAGAAATATTATCAAGTAAGCAAAACTTTTGACAGTGTTTAGAACGCAACTATCTGCCAGCTTCTTTGCTGTGAATATTTTGAAAATAAAACCCTTCAGTACTTTTCCATCTTTCCATAAGCGCACATAATACAGAAAAATTACCATTTTCTTTTAGTATTTGGCTCTATACGGATGAAACTGTAAGCATGTTTTAAAGCTTTTGGCTTCAGTGTTGATGAGGCACAGGTCCAAATTTGTCCAAGAGGTGCAACAGTTATGTTTGGAATTTCAGCAGCTTAATTCCAACCCTGATCTTTATAGTTGAGCTCACACTTTTATTCTGGTTATTTTGGGACCACTTTCAACTGCTGAAACAGATAGGGATGTTTGGATGCTTCTTCTTTAAAGATGGATTAGAAGTCAGGTGTCTTTTAACATGAATTAACTGTATAGATAGAACGTGGGCCTCTTTTACTGGTTAAAAGATCTGTGTTAATATAAAAGATCTGTAAGAATTTTGAGAACAGTAAGGTGGCAATCAATCACTCCAGAAAAGCACAAGCTGAGGCTGGTAGTTCTGAAATTGCCTTTAAGAATGGCAATTCTACCCCATTGCATCCTAGGTAGACATTTGAGAGCAAGGCTGTGAGTGGGAAGCACAGGTTAGGTTTGGAGTCACGTAAAGCCAACAAATGGTACCGTCTCCTGAGGTAGCAAGTAAGAGTTTCCCTCGGGAAGTGCTTCAGCACCATTTCATTTACCTCAAGAGTTATAAAAAAAGTTGGAATGATGAGAGTTTTGGGGAAAGCATCCATTTTGAGAAATGTGTGTTCATCTTTGGTCTGAAATGTACAGTGAGGTTTTTTGCTATGACAACTTGGTGAAAAAATTGCACTTGATTTTTAGTAGATGATTATGGCACTTTGTAAAATGGCACTTAATAGCTCTTTGAGTGCTTAATGTATACATTTCATTGAGGTCAAAAAAGTAATCTGTGGTTGTACTGAAAATTCCCAGAATGTCTGGAGAACCTCAGCTTATTAGTAAGAACGACTGAAAATTTTTGGCTGGTGGGAAGCTATGCAACTTTCCTTTCAAGTGTGTGCAAATATATAGTTGTCCATTTTAAAATGACTTTATAGTGACGATACCCTTTCAGCTGCCACAGATGTGTGCTAAAAGATAGATGTATGTCTTGAGTAGTAGAGAGATGAGCATTCTGCTAGTTTTTCCTTCAGTGAGTCTGCAAATCCAACACAGACAGTTTGAGCTGGACTTACTTTATTTTTAAACATCCTCTACAGAATTTACTTACTAAGCTTCAATCCATTATACTTTGATGAAACCAGTTGTGGAAAGGAAAAATCTTTATATTGTGGATGAGATGCAAGAAAGATGCCTCTCTCATCTCATGCTGTATTTGCACATAGATGCTTTTATGATTTTGTGCTGCCCCTAGAAAGCACAGTAAGTAAATGCAGATAGACAGTAAAAACCTGATTTTGAAACATGACCTATAGTTTGCATTAATTGTAGTTTTTTTCACTTAACAGTTTATCTGCAGATATAAGTTGATACAGTTAAGGCATTTTAAATACTTCATTTTGCCCATTTCCATGTTATTGTTGTCCGCAAAAACAGATCATACTGATAGACTCAAATTTCATCTGTTTCTGCAGTCTTTCTACTGAACACTTGTTATCGCCATATTTATTGTTAATATTATGTTGTTGCCCTGAGACTGCAGGTGTTATTAGGGTCCATATTATTATGTTCACTGTTGCACACATGAATGCAGTGTAAAATAGTTCTGTGGTAAAAATTCCATGTTTCATTCCAGGGAAAAAACCCCTCACACACACCCCAAAACTAACCAACCACCACCACCAAAAAAAACCAACAGTGGGAGGCGACCATGGTATCATATCTTATTGCTGGAAAATCCTGAGACACTGAGAGAACTGTATTCCCTGAGGTTGCACAAACCCCATGTCTGAGTCTGGAACTGAGCCTAAACCCTTGTCTAGATATAAGAATCATCTTTTCTCCGTGAGGCTTAAGGTATATAAAAATGTCTGCGATACCTAGCGTGGGATCTGAACATCCTCTCTGAATGCAAAGGAGTTTGCATTCTCTCAAGTACGATCTAACAGTTGGAACGTATACCTGCCATCTGGCTACATAAAGCATATGGCATATAAATGAGGAATTTTTCTAACAATTAAATTCCAGAATGGATTCAACTTCTCAGAGCCTAAATAAATTGTAAAGATAGTACCTTTTGGTACGTTGACCTCTGAGAGAGCAGGAAGAGTGTTATCTGCTGAGCTGTGGTTCTCCTTGGGACATCATGCCAGTCAGTATTAGATTCTTCACACTTCAGTAGTCTCAGCTTCTGAATCTGGTATTCCACCAACAAAGGTCACTACAATGCTTAGTAAGGAGAGAGGTTGCCATCTAACTGATTAAAGGTACAAATTGCAGTGTGTGATAGGATTCAAAAGATGTAGAAAAGTCAACAGGTATTTAGTTAAATATGCTGTGTTGTTTTTCAGGTAAATATACTGGAGTGTTTGAACAAGTTGTTCTCCATTATCAACACTGCTTTGCCATTTTAAGAGACTTATTGCTTAAATCCCTTCAGAATAACAGATTTTCTTTCACATGTCAGGAACAGCTTGGTTTTCTCAGGTTTTTCTTTTGTTGAAAAGGAGAAATGTACTAGATAATGTAAAAAAGAAAATTAGATAAGCTGATGCATAAAACTCAAGAAAGTCAAAGTGATGCCGTTAAAGTACTTTGAGAGCTTTGGCATCTGTTTGAGTTTTGCTACATATTTGCTGGGGAAGTTTCCTCTGTGATTTGTAGATTCACTCCTTTCATCATTTCCCTGAAGCCCAGACAGTTTCATTGGTTCTGACATAGAGTGAACAATTGAAAACATTCTTCAGTAGAGAAATATTCCAAACTTCACTTTCACAGTTGAAGGTATGGAAAAAAAACCAAAAGATGGCTTTAGGCAGTGAGACGTGAAGGACAAGTGGTAGGCCTGTCACAGATGCTGATAGCTTGGCGATGGTTGTACATCATCTTCCCTTCGTTGGCTCATGGACCTGTCTCAGCTGAAATGCAAACGTGCAAAATGACACATTTATTTTTCATCTTAAACCTTGATACTTCCAGGCTTCCTGTGCATCAATGATTTGTTTCATTCCCCTATGTTCACCACAGATGTGCTGCCACCAGTGCCAGGGCAAGGAGATAAAACCGCTACTATGCTCTCTGATGGAGCCATTTACAGCAGCATTGACTTCACCACGAAAACTAGTTACAACAGTTCCAGCCAAATAACGCAAGCCACGCCATATGCCACCACCCAGATACTGCATTCCAACAGCATCCATGAGTTGGCTGTCGACTTACCTGATCCTCAGTGGAAAAGCTCAATTCAGCAAAAAAATGACCTGATGGGATTTGGTTACTCTCTCCCAGACCAAGGCAAAGGCAACAATGGTAAATAGAGCTCTTCTTTTCCAGAGCCCTTGGCTTTATGCTCTATCATCTATGCATGAATTAGAAAAGTCTTTTAGTATGCGAGACGCTATTCATATTTACCATAACTAATGCTTGCATACCTTGCATGCATGCTTAACCTCACACAATCACAAAATACGCTGTGTTGGGCTTTGTACCCTCTTTGTCCTGTGCTAATCAGCAAGCCATCTGCCTTCCATTAGGCTAGGAGAGGTATACATTTCAAAAACAAAAAAATCCAACCATGTTGCCCCACCATGTCTGCCCTTGACTTGCTAACTGCATGTGTTGCATGTGCTTGTGCTGTCAACTAATCACACGATGCCACTGTGACCTTTGCCCTTTAACCCTTAGCCTTGCTTTACATCCCTGACTACCGGGTGGCTGAGGGATTGGCTAATAGATTGCCACACAACCAGTCCCAGGATTTCAGCACCACCAGCTCCCACAACAGCTCCGAAAGGAGTGGCAGCCTCTCAGGTTGGTTCCACTGCCGTGGGTGGGTGAGGGACGGAGGGGTGTTGGTGAGCACCTGTCCAGGGAGGCGGACAACCTCCCTGGGGCACTTGGCGGGTAGGTATGAGGGTGCCCACCCACTGCAATGTCAGCGAACAGCATCATGTTGGGCTCTAGTAAAAAAAAAACCATAAAGCCTTTTTCAAAACCTCTTTGGAGATATTGGAGAATCCTCCCAACCAGCGCTTGTCGGTGCAATGGCAAACCCTGCCTTGTCACATCCTTTCCCTGACAGCACAGTTCATGGAGCAACTGTCAATCCTCAATTTAGAGGTCTCCCCACACTGAACTTCATGAGGAGATTAATATTTTTGTTGAGTTGTTAACAGGTTCCCCACTCCCACGAGCTGTTTCTAAATACTGATTTTCAGTGGAGCAGCTCAGAAATAAATGTAGGCCCTTGCAAGATGACTGAGGTCTCAGAAATTATGCCAAGTCTGCATACAAACAGAGTGTAAATTTTGTGTGTGCTGCATGTTATATTGGAAACATGACACATTTTCATTGGATGAAATAATTGTAGTACATGTGGTTGTGTATTATATTTAAACACACCTTTTTCTTGATTTCCTTAATTTTGCTTATTTGTTGCTTATGTTATGTATAACTATGTCATTTTTTTCAAGACAAAAACTGAAAAGCTCGTAATTAAAATGAAAGTCTGCTATTTCACTTAACCAAAATATGAGAGAGCTGAAAGGGACTTAAATTTCAAATTGATATTATATTTGTAGCCTTTTGAATTTGCACTATAAGTTGGAGCAATCGTAACAGTAACAGATCAACCCTAGAAATAGCTTCTTTATGTCAATTTAAATGACTATTCAAATTGAACGTTGAGATTAGAAGCCTATAATCATTGGCCCATAACTCAAATACCCAGATGTGTTTGCAAGTCTTGTGTTCTCATTGGGAGTATTAACTGATTTGAGTGAGATCAAATAATAGGCTTATGGCATTGACAGAGAGGTGTCTGGGAGCTAAGTTCATACAATACTTCAAGAAAGGTTCTTTTTCCTTCTATATGAGATGTATTGGCAAGTAGCTTAGGAAATGGGCTTGCATGAAAATGCCGAAATTGATATGCTGAGGGACGTATGTGCCAGTTATCAGAGGGCAGTATCACACTTTAGATGTGTTGACAGCTACAGCTGCCTAAGAATTTTCTCAGAAAAGCCAAAGTTTCAGTGGAAAATACCAGTTGATCAAAAGCTGGACTTTGAACGAATAACGTCAAGTGAAACATATTTTGTCTACAGTTTCTCACTTTAAAGTAAATTCTGTGACCGCACACAGAAACTTCAGGTTAGCCAGTCTTTCTGTGGCCAGGGCACTCCTGTTGTGATCAAAGCAGCTGACACCTGGATGCCCCATTGCTCAGACGAGTGCCAGACGATTGGACTGCAGAGTCAGTATTTTGCTCTCCCTCACACACTAATTATGTCTTTAATAAGGCTAATTATGTTTGTAATACATGAAAAACGGGGTGAGATATTCAAATGGTCCAGTAATTAGAGCATCACTAGAGTCAGAGACCAACTTTGATTGCATAGTCCCTGTCAGGGTGAGCAGGGACTTGTTCTCTCACTTCCTTGGTTACTACTTTAAGTACTACTTATTATTCTGCCTAAGCTTCTGTCTCTCGCAAATGAATATCATGAGAAATCCTGTCTCACTGTGGAATGGAAAATAGCTGAAAACTCAACTGCTTTGTGAGACAGGGAAATTCTGTGGCTGTATTTTGCACAGCTCCCAAGCTTATGTCAGTGCTATGATCATCAGCCTGACTGGCAAATTCTTTTCCAGCACCTGGTTCATCCAGAGATTTAAACAATATAATTGAATTTCAGTGTGAGGAGACATTGAAACTTCAAGCATCATTGCTATCGGGAAACAAGGCTTCGGTGCACCGGTTTTGAAACACACATCAAGCATTATGTATTAGGTGTCTGTTCCACTAGTCCGCAGTGGAGTGACTCTGCCCATGGGGACAGAAGAGAAATCTCCTGCTCAACTCTGCAGTGTAGGTTGCTTTCCCCACCAGTAATGACCTTGGAGTTCCTTTCTTTTATTTCTTCATCTGAACAGTTCCTCAGCTTCACTCTAATAGCTCTGTTGTCTTTGACCTTTCTCTCCAAACCCCCCCCAAATCCATGTGACTCCATACTAGCAACCCACACATCCAAACTCCATTTTCCCAGTCTCCTAAGATTACCAAGATGGTACGCTTCCAAAATCTTCCTCTCCACATCAACTATTCTGACGTTCTCTGGATTTTCTCTTCTCTGAATATTTCTACTTTAAATCCCACTGCAACACACACACACTTACGCATGTGCTTTCCTCCCAAAGCAGCCCCTCCTGCCTTAGCTCTTGTTGGCTCCTACTCCTGCTGACTTTTCCAAAATGCCCCCACATCCTGCAAATTAAAGTTAATATATTTCCGCTATGACTGTGCTTTGAAAGCTTCATATTCCTATCAGAAGGTTCATGTGTTTCTTCCTCCATTGCCACCATCACTGGGGTTTCTCTTCTGCTGATATCTGTTCTTTCCCTTTTCAAGAAAGCTTCACCCTCTGCCAAGCTACAAAAGGAGGGAAGAGTGTCTTGCATCCTAATAGGTGGAATACCAGCTACATTTGCACATAGTGAATGACAGGATCTTGGCTGGACTTATTAGAAATGCTCCAGTATAAGGAAGGAAGAGCTCTGGTCTGGAATGGAGTAGTGGAAAGTGAAGTCTTGTTTGCAACATGCTGCCAGCCAGGCTGATTAGAAATCTTGCCGGGCTTGTTGCCTGTCTCTAACAGCCACAACAGGAGGTGAAAAGAGAAGTCTTGGCTACTTCTGAACCACAGATCTTCTTTCTTCCCTCTTTATTCATTTCTACTTTGGCCCAGCTGACATTTGGAGGTAACAGAAGAAAGCCACTGTCTCTCAGATGAAAAGTCCCGTGACATGTGCTTGTCTATTGCTAGAATTGCACCTCCTTCTGGATGTGTCTATGCCTATAGCTAGAGCCATGGCAAAGAGGGTGGTGCCTGCCAGTGCACATCCTGCCACCCTGCTTTACAAGTCAGTTGTGATTTTTTTGATTCATTACTGATGAGAACTTTTTACTTGGGGTTATTTTTGGCTGATCCTTATAAATCAGCAAGCGAAGTCAGTGTGTAAGGTGGATTAGGCTGTTGCTTTCTGCAACAGGCAAGGGATGAGTGACTGCCATCTGGGTACCCCACTGGAAAAACATGTGACAAACAATTCCTCCACCCAAGTATCCAGAGAGTTTGAAAGCCACAACAAAATGGCAATAAAATAGATGGGTCTCCAAGCAGTCAAGGGATTTGAAATCTTGTGCCATTCTTCGTGACAGGAGAAAGGAGTCAGGGCAGAGTAAAAGAGCTGAAACAAGTGGGAATAGAGCTTTCCCTGTAGGATGACTTTCACAGAAATGGAAGTGTCTAAACTGGAGAAGTGGGTACAAGGACTATAAAAAAAGAGAAGAGGGCTTAAGCAAAATGCACTACTTGCCTTATTGCTACTAGCCTCCTCCATTAGAGCTGTACATCAGAAATAGAACCTCTTCTACATAGTGGCACAAGATATTTGAATCCTGTGAAACAGACAGTCCTAAAACATTGCAAGTGACTTTGTCATGTTTTAAAAAATTGAACTTAGTAAATCCCTATCAGAAAAACTCGGTTTCTTTTTGTTTCGACAACTTAAACTTGTCATTCTGCCTGAAAGATACTGAGTCTAATGACATTTTCTTATAGATTGTGTCCTTAACCTCTGTGTTTTCAGCAGAAGGGGATCATACAAAACAGTGTTATAAGCACATTGGATTCTGATATTTGAAATAATTTTCTATGGTCTATTATATTTTTATCTAAGAATGAATTCAAGAAGTCATAGAGCAGACATGAAAAAATCAGTAAATGTATTCCTGATAGAGCAAAACATGTCTTTCTTTGGTAGCTCAGTACTCTGGTGCAAATGTATGGAGCTTTAAAAATAAGTGATTTTCAGCAATTATTCAGAATATTTTTCCATTACATTCTATTATTATTTATAACCTTGTAACAGCATTAGCACGTTGATGCTGATTCTGCTGAGATATAAATACATCTTCTTTTTTGGGGCATGCCATCTGGAATCAGAGTTCTTTCAAAGAAATGTAAATAGCTAGCTTTT